GGCTACACACACACACACACACACACAAACGCCCCACCCTGTGGAGACCCAGTGGCAGCTGTGTTCCCCAGGGCTGGTGGAACTAGAAATACAGCCAGAGCAGTAGCGGAGTGAGCGGTTAGCAGGAGAATTCATGGGATCTGGTTTCTGTCAGGTAAACACCAGAGTGTACGCTTCGTTTCTGTAGTGCCCTTGTGTGGAGAGTGTCTCAGACTGAACATGAACAAAACAAGCGCACACACACACACACACACATAGCTGTGACCATGTTATTATCTCAGTAGTCACAAAACCAGGCTAGTAAATGAGGCGACAAGCCTCAGTGAGCGTGTTGGGAAAACATTAGGTTTGTGTTGTAATCTTCTGGGAACTCTTCTGGTAACCCTCCCTCTTTTCTTATTCCAGAATACAGCTATTAAGACAAGGCCTCCCGGCACACAGGGAGTGTATCAGCCAGGATATTAAAGGCTATCATTTCTGATTTTGAAGACAAACCACGATACAGTTCTGTAGTAGTGAACACAGACGCTATATGAGCGAAACTCACAAAACCTGTCGACACGTGCAGATCATATTTCACCCCAAAAACAAAAGAAAAAAAATGAACAAATATATTTTACTTTTAGAAAATTTATTTTAACTAAAGCCTGTTTCCGCTACAGAATTAAAAAACAAAAAAATAATAAAGTTATATATGCGATTTTTATCTCGCAATTATGAGAAAAAAGTCGAGATAGCGAGATAAACTCTGTAAAAATTATTTTGACTTTTTATCCCAAAATTCTGACGTTTTTTTATGAATACTGAATTGTGCCAAAAAGTAGCAATCACCCTTATTCTAATTACTTTAATGTAAAACTTTTATTTAATTATACAAATAATAATATATTTTATATAATAATAATAATACTATATTTAAAAACTAAAATAATAAAAATGTACATCCTGGTAGACTTCAATGCTGATTTAAATTAATAAATTATTTTATTACAGTATTTTTTCTGTAATATAGGGTGTGATTTATTTACCATGGTGTTCTTTTAAGGCATATATTCCATAACATATCTCAAAGTACCATGATATTACCATCTGATAACATTTCCATGTTATCGCACAATCCCTTTTTAAAATCTAGCATATGCAGAGAGGTACAGTGAAAGCAAAATATCTAAAATACAGTGAAAGCCACTCATTTGATACTATAAAATGCAGTCAGATGTGCTTGGCAGAACACTCATTAGGGCCGCTCCTCTGGGCCCCTCAAAACCTCCTTATTAAGTGAGCAGAGGTGGGCTTTGCAGCATATCACAGCAGATAAACCCTTGGGCCGGACCACGCTTTCCACTTACAATTAGGGATGGAACGATTACCGGTTTCACGATAAATCACGATAAAATGCCCTGACGGTTAGTATTACCGTTTAAAATTGAATTATCATCAAAACCGTGTTTGATTATCGCGCTTTTGAAAACTCGCGGTAAATCCTGTCCAGCCAGTATCAGTCTGACGCAGAAGCAGCATGCAGTGTTGTTGTTGTTGTTGTTTTTGCACGAGACGAAATGGCGGAAAGCAGTGACAGCGCTCGGGAGATTTTTCAGCCATCTAAGAGGACCAAATCGGTGGTCTGGTCGTATTTTGGCTTTTACAAGAGTCCTGAAGGCAATTTAATCGAGGACGGTCACCCTGTCTGCTGATCTTGCAAAAAGAAAGTCGCTGCAAAAGGGGGAAACGCATCAAATTTGCTCAGTCATCTTCGTGACCACCACCCACTGTTAGCGAATGCAAGGTAACTTTTACCTCAATACCAAAACTAACTGGGCAAATAATTGGACAAAAAATATTGATTAGAGATTAAATATTCCGTTATCTCACTTGTTTAACGCAAAGCTTCCGCGAAGAAAAGTTCGCAGCAAGTGGCCTTGAGCCAAGACGAACGAACGTTCAAACTATAAGGTTGACATTTAAGGGATAATGTATTGTATATTCATACTTAACTTATTACACGGATTTTTTTTTGTTTACCTAAAATAATATATAAATACGGGGATATGAAATATTGAATTGAGATTAATGTTTTGAAATCTTACCTGTTTATAAATCCATTATGAACAGTGTATATAAGTGATTTATTATTATTATTATTAGAGCTTCATGTTAATGTTAATTTAATTTTTATGCTAAAAAAGTGCATATAGCTGCTAATTGTATTTGTTGTTTGTTGATTTTCAAATATAAAACTTATTGAAATGTTTTCAGTGTGTGTATCAGTTCTTTTTGAACATGTTCATCTAATTTTAACAAACCGTGATAATATTGATAATCGTGATAACTTTGGTCACTATAACCGTGATATGAAATTTTCATACCGTTACATCCCTACTTACAATGCTTAAAGACGTATTTAAAACGGGCCACTTCACAGAAATCTGAGACCCTGCTTTCAAACTTCATCCAAGAGGCTAAGATGATAATTGATGACATGCTTTTTTAGAAATAATCCACTTATGGTCCCACATGTGACTCTCAACATCTCACACACACACACACTTGTGGAGCAATGCAAGAGCATATTGTGCCACTGAAAAGCTTGCAATATCTAAGGATTACATCTAAGATCCTTCAGCACTAAATCGGACTATGTGGGAAAACATTTAGGCCTATTAAAAAGGGCTCATAGTAAGCATAGAGATCATCGTTCGTGGCTAGGATATTAGATTTAGAGCCATGATGGAGAGCATGCAGCTCATTGTGCCGCGGGAGTTTCTACTGTACACTTGCTGGCCTTTGTTCTTCAGAACTGTAACAAAAGACATGCGCCAACGGCACGCGACGAGCGTACCGTCACCTGGAGACCGCAAATGCGTTCAAATGAAGTTCGACCCACGTCTGCGAATCGATTCCTTTGAACAGGTCGCTTCAAAGAATCGGTTCAAATAAAGATTTTTTTGTATATATCAAAAACTGTCATGCAAAAGTCGAGAACAAATATATTTGTAACATTTCTGCTATTCAAGTAACTTCTCGTCTTAAGTCAATAAAACATGAGCTCGGCTCACGTAGAGTTTTTAGCTCATTACGGGTCCGACGTTTCTCGGTTCAGTGACTCAGTTGACCGGAGAGCAAATAGTTCAGTACGGTTTTGTTCACCGGTTCAAACCGATTGTTGAAACGATCCGACTCTAAACAACAATTCATCGACGAATCGGACACCGCGCTTTTGTGCACAGCTTTAAGTCGCATTTGTTATTCCATGTACAATCAATGGTGTTTTCAAAACTAACGTGATAATAACAAACACGGCAGATTTAACTAGGCTACTTAAACCTTGCGCAGAGTAAATTTGTCCGAACTGAGTAAACAAAGTATTGTTCTTCGCGTTGATTTGAAGAGCTATTGAGATTCATATAAACATTGATTAAAAAACAACAACTGGTGTTTTTACTCACAAAGCCGTATCCTCTGGATTTCCCCGTCTGCCGGTCCGTTATCACCACGGCTTCATCGATGTCGCCGAAAGTCTCGAAGTGTTTTCGCAGCGACGCGTCCGTGGTGTGATACGGTAACCCGCCGACGAAGATCTTGGTGAAAGTCGTGTCTTTCTGAATACTGGGATACATGGTTTCCAGCGTCCCATTCACGAACTGATGTAAAAGCATCCGGGCGCGAAATTCAGTGCAATGTAAATACGAAACGCGCGCGTTATAAATAAATATAAATAAACATAAATAACGAACGGCTCTTAAGCTACGCTACAGTGGTCGCGAAGGCAGCGAGGTAGATAGCAGTCCTTTGGCTTGGAAAAACAACCGAGGTTCCCGTTCCTCTCCGTCATGTGCCAAACTAACGTGCTCCACTAGTCCATGACCGGAGAAACACTGACGGCAGGTGAGCGACTGACTGACTGACTGTCGCTCTCAGACAGCCACAGCAGCAGCACATGTAGAGCAGCGCTCACCTTCCTGCCTCCACAGCCAATGCGATGCTCGGCTCTGTGTGACGCTCACAGACCCTTCCTCTGCCTCGTGCCTCACCTTGTTTCCAAACTGCACCTGTCTTTGTTCCGAGACTCTCTGAAGAAACTATGGCTTTGAGTCTTCCTTGTGGTTTTGATGGTAGTACATATTCTCTAAGCTTGATATGGAATATTTGGTTTATACTTGGTTTAATACCTGATTTAAAAAAAATACGTTGATATATAGCCTATATTACAACGTGGCACATTAGTATTTCTTTTTGCTGTTACAAACAGATTTATCCATTTAAGTTTGACCCATATATTGGCCACTGTTAATTAATGCATTGTTGTTATTTGTGTCAAATTATGTGTATTTAAATGGCTGATGTCAGTATCACTTTGAAAAGCTGGCATTCAAAATCTGTTTCTTGTATCTTGAAAAGAATACAATTATTTAATTAAAATCTAATTTGGTAAATCTAAAATTATAATAAAAATATTTAAGATTACAATGATATTTTCACTTATATTATATTTATATTATATTATATTTGCACTATTTTGCTAATTTTAAAATTTGTACTTTTTATTGTACATGCAAAATGAAAGCATTTTCACTGGTTGTCTGTTATGTTTGTGCATAAAAGCTTGGAAATTAAATAAACATTTGGTTTAATTATTTACCAAAAAAAGAAAAGAAAACTGAAAATGCTGTCTCTAAAAAAATATTTAGGACTAAATTTAAGATTTATGTAGTTTGAATTGCATATACAATTTCCATCCATCCATTTTTAGTTTTCATCTATTTGATTTTATTTAAATAACCATATTTTTTTTAAATACATTTATTTAAATTGTTTAGAATCAGCATAAATCTGTTTATGGTGAAAACAATTACATTTTGTCAGGTAATTTTTATATATATATACACCTGGTTATTGTGTATTTAAAACACATCCCGTTTATTAGTAGTACTACAGAAATATTACCTGCTGCATTTATGTATGACAGATGCATCACATTAAGTTGATCAGTTTGTTTATGG